TGTTTCAACTGTTTTAAATTATTAAGATTTTACTGCACAACAATACTGGCAGCTAGGTTTCTCTTAGCCGTGGCTTCAAGATAAAACTAATGAAAACCACAGTAAAAGCTTGTTTTTTAGTCTTTCCAGTAATTTGCATATAATTTGGTGAATCACACTCTGCATTTTACATGGTCTATCAAGCAGCATAAAGCCAAATCCATGAAAAGCCAGGACACATGGCTTGTATTGCTTACAAAATCTGGGTTAGTCACTGAACTTTTTGAATTTTTACTTTGAACTGGAACACATTGAATAGAGTTGTTTCCATGGCAATGTCTGAACTTTTGTAGGCAAAATTTATCAATTTGTCTGTTTTAACTAAAAGTAACACTGCTGTTTTAGAGTTACTCAGATAAAATATGAACTTGTAGCAAATAGAAAATCTGTGGAGGGACCTAAAATGGAGGTATCAAAAATCTCTGTGGATCTTTGAAAGTATGTTGATATAACAAAATCAGGTTTTAGAGGTGTGAATGCTCCACAACATCCTTTAAACATGGCCTTTACTGTCAGTGAGACCTTAAATTTAAAAATAAAGAACAAATTCTAGTTAAAGTTGCTGAACTCTCACTCTGTCTGTCAGAGTTGTTCATTCCTTGGATAAGATGCTTCATCTACCTTATCTGCTGCCAGTGGTTAGGGGTACCGGTGGCGTACAGTACATTTTATTGCAGCTCCATTTCAGTATGCCTCAGGGCAGCTGTGGTTACATTTCAGGTTACCACTGTCTGTGTCTGAATGTGTGCATAAATGACTGATTGTAGTTTGAAGCGCTTTGGGGTCCTTGGACTTCATAAAAGCACTATAAAAGTGCAGGCCTTTTACTGCACCAGTGCTCATTCGATACTTTTAGCATCAGCTCTGATATGCAACCTAAACCTTTACTGGAAACTGTGCATTGGAAATCATCACTCCCTTGCTGTACCACTGTCAGTGACTGTGCCTCCAAATAGGAGGTTGATGGAACGATTCTTAGCAGGTGATGCCTGCAATCTTAAGTGCTGGATGGTCTCGTTGACATTTGTGCTTCTCATATCCCTAAGGAAACATAACCCTTGGCTTTAAAATGTCTCTCTTAAAATGGCCTCGCTTTGAACCCTACTTTAGCAGTTGTGTGCATAATATAAAAGCTCCATGTGCTGTTTGCCTGTTAAGCATGAAAAAAAAAAAGGATTTGTGCTCCCCTTTACTCAGTTTTAAACTAGACTTTTTAACACTGATATACGTCTCCTGGTGTGCTTGTCTGCCCTTCCCTGACTGCTTGATAAGAAGGTGGAGATATTTTCTCCAGTGGAAGTGAGCAGCTATGAGAAGGGATCGTGTTAAAAGCTTTCACACAAAAGTGGTCTTGATGGAGTTTCAAAGTTAAAATAGGTTATTTCTTTAACTAATGTAAGGGTATGTTTTTTTTTTATCTTTTAAAGCTACACATAAAATAGCTCATGTTACAGGCTCTACAGTAAAAACCCTCAGAGTAAAAAATAAACTGTGTGAATCACTGTACAAAGATGGCTGGAGGGATTAGCTATAGGCTTATATTAGTCTGAAAGGGTCAGACTGATTACGGGGGGGCAGACAAAGTACACACCCCAAAATAAACTGTTGTTTGTCTTTCTGTTTGTAGAAACTGTTAGTAGGGACATATAAAAAAAAAAGCAGCATTTATCTTTCAAAAATGCAAAACAAACAAAAACACTTTCACATTAAGCTTTTCTGAAGTTGGATATTTGTCATGATTGTCATGATTTGCAGATTAAGCTTTTAATAAAGGTAAATGAGTGATAATCAGACATACATATTGACCTTGATGCATTGCTGTAACACTCTATGGAAAATATTTTAGACTAATTAACAATAACATTATTCAGACTATAGCTCTTGTCCCCAGTTTAAGCTGGAATAAGGATTTATATACAAAAGGTATCGCATTTTCCATCAGGGTGTGACCATGTGTGTTTATGTTATTTAGTTGGGTTAGGCTTGCTTAGGGGTTCTGCTTTGAGAATGGTGGGTGGTGAACGATGTGAACGATGTATTAAACATCATTCAGAGGGGTAGATTATCATCCTATTAGTCTCAGTGTGACCATGTGGGTCTGGCAGCAGGCTATTAAGCTGTGATCTTTAAGCACAACAAGGGGTGAGCATATGGGGACTGGAATAGACCAATGGACAGGACAAAAGACAGTAGGGTGTCGGAGTGTTTTATGCCCCTGCACTCTCTCTATTGTTAAGGTTTGGTATAATTATCCCATGACCCATGCATCATCCTTTGTTCCCCTCACAACAGATTTTAGCCGCTGGCCATATTTGACAGACCACGGTAGTGATCAAAATACTTCATTGAAAAAGACTGCTGGAGGTAAAAGAGAAAACACAAGAGATCCAGTGCATTCATTCATTCATTCATTCATTCATTCATTCATTCATTCATTCATTTATTTATTTATTTATTAATTCATTCATCATAGTCCAGACAGATTAAATGGGGCTCTTTGAAATATTAAACTCAATAGCAACAGTGGCAAATGTGTTGTTTTATCTGAATATAAGTGGTGTATACAAAATAGACAAATGTCACTTACTTTACTATGAGAGGATAAGGTCTATTTTGATTTAGATAAAGTACTATTTAAGGTTATTTATCAGAGGGACTGTTCAGAACTTTGAAACAACATTATGTTGAACTATCAATATCGCTTCCTTTAAATGTGAAACAAGTGGCATATAGGTCTGAATTCATAGAAAGATGAATCCTTGGACCGGTGAAAGAACTTGAAAGACACTATCATAGAATAAAATAGTCCTTTATTGTCCAACGGGGAAATGTTGGTTGCATAAAAATTACATCAAACAAAAAACTGCATTGTTCTTAAAAACTGCAGTAGGGTGATTTGAAAAATGTAAAAAAGACCAACGTAACTAATATATATGAAAAACAGCAATATTTACTTTACTGAAGTTAGTTTTAGGTGCAAGCAGTGAGCTGCGACAATCTGGCATTAGGTTTGCTCTAGAAATGTCTTTGCTTTATAAACTCACAGGGTTGTCTAATCTGATATCTAATTTGATTAATTTTAATTCACTGGTAAATAATGGTCAGTAATTTGGTATAAACAATCATGTTTGAGCTTTGTAATTGTTTGGTTTAGATGCCATGGATCCATGAGTAGAAATATATCAGTTAAAAAAGGGCCAAAAAATCGGTACAAATAAAGTCTTTGTTTACATTGAGGTGTACAACATTTAGGTGTCAAATAATTGGTGGTAGTAACATTATTGGTGCGCTCCTCTCCTCTAAATAAATGATTAATTTCTTTGTTTATGTCTCTTCCTTCTTTTTTTGTTAGCTCAAGTCTTTTTTTTTAAGAAGTAATTGCTTTCTCCTTCTTCCTGCTTCTTTCATAATGTCAGTGGGTTCTCTTATAGTAGCTAACTACGTTGAACGGCCTACTGTTGATAATCTGTCTCCTAAACCATATGCACGTTTTAAAGGAAAGTAAGGGGCCTTAGAAAACAGACATTGTTAATGTTAATCCCAAACCTTACTGTTAATCCCAATACAATATTTTAACACATTGTCACCAAGTCTGAATTTCTCTATAATACTGATTGATAAGAAGTTCTGAAACTCAGTGCACCAAACGCTTTTCATTCCAGTACAGTTTCAGAGTCTACCTTATGGATTTACTTCAGTGTTGGTAAACCTGTTAATGATGAGGTTGGTTCCAGCCGGTCGGCTGCCAACACAATGCAGCTGACGCAGAACTAAGAGTCCGAAGACAGGTCAGACATACCGATCAAGCTGGGTAAATAGAGACTGAAGCAGGTGGATCAGATGAGCAGTAATGAGAACTGGGCGGAGATACACAGGTGATTGAAATGATTAATTGGACCAGACATCAGCGCCAAGATAATGACATCTCCCTCACTTATCTTTTTCTGACAAGCTATTTACATCTTATTAATTTGTCCCTTTCCATGTGAAATTCTCCTTTAAATGATGTTCACTAGGCTGCTCAAAGGCATGAAGGGAAAACCATACAGAACCATGACTTGATCCCTCTGTGTCTGTGTACTATAGAGAGGAGCAAGTATATACAGTAATTAAGCCAGTCCTAGATGGGTATAACTACAAAGTCAATACTGAGCTGTCTGGACTGAAAAGATAGAGTGAAGTAAATTTAGCACCAAGGGAGTCGCACAGCTATCAGAACTTGAAAATAAATGAAGTGAGGATTTGACATCTGCATTTAGCTCCACACTGTATATGCATAAGGATCATTATAGAGTTTATTTAATTTCTTGATTGTAAAATTATGTTTTCTTAGCAATTATAGACAGAGAAGATTACACAAAAATCTATCTGGATTCCCATGTATGATGTATACCATCATAACAACAGACCAACTCAAGCAAAGCTCACCAGTTAAAAATGTGCTACCCTCTGTATTATTGTTGGAAAGACTTCTGCTGGGGCAGTAAAACTAATTTCTAAGAGAAATGACATAATCTTCTGTTTATATGAAAGACCTTTTGTACTGAAGCCTTAGGGATGTGTGCTTTGGTTGGATATAATCATGGCTAATTTCACTTTAAAGGAAGTGGCACACAGCAATGGATCCATGCTCTCAAAATATCCAGTTGAAAGATAGACCCTTGTGCCTGCCCTCCCTCCTATAGTCATATTCTCCTAGTATCAAACACCCACACTCTTTTACATAATCCAGGTTCTCCCCCCGGTTACCCCCTCACTGTTGTCCCCATTTACACCTTAATCCCATCCTTCATATCATTTCTTTCATTTCCCCTCCCATTGCCAAATCTCCTCCTCTTTTCTCCCCTCCCCTCTAACCTCTGCCCATTCTTCGTCTTCCATCCCTTCCTCCTTTCCCTCCCCTCCTCCACCTTTCCCCTCCCACTGTCATTAACTATAGTATAAACAGCACTGCATCCCTCCTCGTCTGTCTCACACAGTGGGATTGCTAGAAAGGAGAGAGTGAAGAGGATACTTGGAAATACATCAGCCCTAGTACCTTACTGGATTTGTGTTTCTCTCTCACTAATCCCATTGAAGAGGTACGTTATTTAGATTCTATTATTACACCGAATTAGACAATAAAAGGGGTTTATTCACTAATTTTACTTTATTTATATTTTTTGTAAGGGGATGCACTTACCAGATGCTTTTCAACATACTGCAGAAACTGTTACTGATTTGTTGACAGTATTAAAATGTGTAGATAGCCACACAGGAATAATATTTATTTTTGATTGTAAATAAATGAAATGGAAAAAAAAAAGCTGAAAAATGATATAATCATGTTTCTAAGAGATAATTTTGTCATTTTATGTTTCATATACCTCTTGCTTCTTTCCTTTGTATATTTCACTTTACCTTTCACATCCACTAAATGAGCCCTATGTTTGACAATGCCATAAACATAATATAACCAAAATATGACAGAATTGATCAAATCATGTGGTAATTTTTTGATTTTGTTGTGCATTTTGTCCTGTTACCAGCATCTTTCCCCTGATCAATACTGGACAGCATAATAAGAGAGACCATGAGCGGGAACTATAGCGTCACTCTGTTAGGGCCGGCCCCTTGGGGCTTCAGGCTCCAAGGAGGGAAGGACTTTAACATGCCACTCACCATCTCCAGGGTAAGTAACACAAACAGACAATATTACAAGTATAAGAGGCGGTGAACACTAACAGAATTGAACAGGTTACATAAAAATCTACTTTGTAGTTTTTTTATGTGTCAGGATTATGTTGATAATGAAAGCATTGCACTCTTAATGTTTAATCTTGACACATGCATGCAAAATTATTCACCTTAGGGTAGTGGTGAATTGGCCTGCTTGTGATCTTGTGTGGTTGGTGGAATCCAATCACTGTCCTTCAACTCGTGTCCTTTGCTAACTGTAACCTTCCCCTTGCAGCACCATTTGCCAACTCCTCCAAACACCAGTGATAGCTTAGCTAAATCATATGCCATCTGTCATATATCAACCACACAGGAAACCTATTCTCATTTTCTTTGCATTCCACTTCCCTTTGACTCTCTGTTTCAAAAGTACAGCAATCAAAGTTCTGGCGCAAAATTCTTGGCTTAGCTTGTGCTGCTTGAAAAGAGTAACTTGATGGTCCCTTAGCTTTATGTCCCTGTAGCGTAACCTCTCTTTGTCTTACACAGACAATCTTTGGCACACCACAGTCCCAATTCTGCTTTCCTCGTCATTTTAGAGGCATTGAGATCCAGGAAGACGATAATCCTTTTTTTGATATTTCTAAAGCTTCTGTTTCATTTTGCTTGGAACACTCTAATACTTTCATCAATTTTGATGCAAGTTAACACAATCATAAAGAAAGTCACCAAAATTGGCAGTGAAACAAACTGCTGGACACACAAAATCTGATGATGAATTGCTTGGCAGATCCTGTGCTGGTCCTCCTTGGGGCCTTTTTGGGTTGCCATGTTTGTCTAATTAGTTTGGATGTGATATTTTTCCCACTAAGCGAAGCCATGTGAATTCTTATCCCGGTTGTGTGTTTCACTTTGCCTGTATGTGTGCTCTTGAAGGCTAGGTTGCAAACATGGAGACAAGATTATGAAATATATTTTCAGGCAACAGAACAAATCATCAAGAAAGAAGAAATGGAAACAAAGAGAAAATCTAACTCAACAAAAAAATCTAACTATTGCAGTAAAAAAAATAAAAATATTACATCTGTTATTTTTTTTAAACATCCTTTAAAAAAAGCAAATCTAGAACAACAAAAGAATGTCATTTTTCTGCAAATGTTAGCATTTAACTGTAACTCTTTCAGCAGCTGAATCTGAACTGAGATTTAAATATCTCAATATTTATTGATGTGGTTTGCCCAAAGTGCTGTTTGCCCTAGAACCGTACAGATGTGTTTTGTGATGTGTTCATAGACCATATCACTTGACTCACCACAAAAATATTGATAGTCTTATCGGTGTAGCACTTTGTTACGTCTGTAAAAACAAAAACAAATCTTTCAAAGTGTTGAGAAACTGGAATGCAGTTTCAAACATTTTATACGCTTCAAAGAACTGGTTGTAATCTGAACTCCCTTTACTTTTTTGTAAAAAAGCAGGCTGATAAATGGGTCAGTTTGTATATAAGAACAATACAGTTACTTAGAAGTAATTACTACACAGACAGCAATTGGAGTAGTAAACCGAGAAAACAAGATTTAAATCTTAATGACCAAATAGGGAAATGTGCAGCACCCTTCACATGTACTGGCATTCATGTAAAGATTGCTTTGTCTCTCATGGCAGCAGCATAACCTTACACTGTAAACTTAGAATAGAATAAATTCCTTTTTTTCACTAATGGAGGAAGTACAGTATCTCAGCGGCAAAGTGAAAAGCCATAGGAAAGCATACACAGAGGTTTTAAAAAATAATCAATGTTTATTACTCAAAGAAATCCTAATGTTTAAAAACACATTTGTAGAAGTTAGAGTATCAACTTTAGCTTTTTACTAAAGTAAAAGTGCAAAAGTACAATTTTCAAAACTAATTAAAGTATAAAAGTAAACGTAATGCAGGAAAAAATGTTGTTGGAAAAAGTAATTACTCCAGTAAAGTTCATATAGTCAACATTTCTACTTAAGTAAGGTAACAAAGTATTTGTACTTTGTTACTTGACACCTCTGCAGAGATACAACCAAAATAGCAATAGCCACAGCAACAGTAAATGATAACAAAATAGAGACTGTAAGTAACCACTCTCCTAATACTGAGAAAGATACTGTAAATGAATATGTCATTAAAATAAGGCATGATATGGTTTGATGGGCAGCATAAGTCAGAACAAGGCTACAATACAATAGGCAGTTATCTACACTTGCCCATATTTACAGACAGATAAGTGTTTAATTGTTTGAAGCAACTGCCACTATCTTGGATGATACAAGAAGAAAAATAAAATATATCTAATGGTCAGTATAAAGGAGCTTTATTTCAGTAAGAATATGCTAGTATAATAAAGAAAAACAAAGTCAAAGACAGAGTCAAATTGACATTCGCACTCATTTCCTACCAGAACTTTTTTAGTAATACGTTTAATTTAAATGACTATACAGGTTTCCTTTTTTTTTTTTTTTTTTCAGTCAGCCAAGTTTGACTCCAAACTGGAATGTCACCCTAAAGATCATCTATACCAATATGTCTTTGTTTTTCTCATCATAGTATTCTATTTTGTCTGTTTACATGTTTACAGTGGGGGCCTTTCAGTTTAGACTTTACAACTACAACTTTATGCAACAAATGTCTCAGTCCTCACAATCATAAAATTTTCAGTCAAACATCAAGAGTCAAACCAACTTCAATTATCTTCGCCCTATTAAATCCATCTAATGATGGTAAAAAGCAATGCCTATGGGCATATTCACCCATGAAAACATGCACACCCAGATTAAAACACACATGAGCACTCTGCCAGTCTAACTATTGTGTTGGTTCTAAGCAGAGACCACACAATAGGGGGTATTAGAGAATGCAGTACTACTGCCAAACCACATCGACACCAGCAGCTGCTATTGCCAAGGTCGACACATATGTGAACAAAGTATGCATTTTATTTCTACTGCAAGATGTGCATGCAGTATAAACAGATTATGGGGTCCAATGTAACCACAAGTGACACTAGGATTGTAGGGAAATTGGCCTCACTTCCACATCCATCTTCTTATTTTTCATTCAAACTGTTTAAGTGGCTAAAATTGCTATTCCTTAATGTTCAGGTTTCAGTAAAACATATAAAGTGCCTAACATGTTGAGGTTGGCCTTTTTCATTGATGAAGGGTAGAAGCAGCACAAACAGAGATAAATATAGGGTTGGGGATTGTTTTAACAATCTTTTAATTACTCCAAGCTGATTATATTATATTTATATATAAAATTTTCATCTGTATGCTAATTTTTATATCCATTTATATCCATCTTAATATGATTACATGGGACAGATTTTTACAATATCCTTAAAGACAAAAAGGTAAACTCTTGCAACATTCCCCATCCCTGGTGATGGGGAACCTAACTGCAACTTTGGGCTTTCTGAAAAGTGCTCATACACAGAGATCGGAATTTAAAATGAAATGAGAAAAACGTTATAACTCTTTCTAATACTACTATGAAATATGCCGAATTAAAATGCTGTTTTTAGAAACTAATGACAACCTATTAGGCAGTTGGAAATGGAAAAAAAGCTTTTTTATAACTGATTTTTAAGAGCACAGACATCTTAGATATTCATTATTTTTTTCATAGAAAATGTGGATATTTTTAAAGGACATCCAAACATAAATAACATTCTAACACCACCCCTTTTCCTCATCAGTTAAACACCCATTTGTGGCATGTGTAAAAATCACCTCCAGATGTGCAGTCTTTAAGTGTCTAGGACCTGCGTATCCAGCACGGCTGCCACACTTCCTTGGATTTTAAGTAGCTTTCCAGCAGCTATGACAGAACACCATGTGCTAGCTCACACAGATTTCAACACATGCTAACCTTGTAACTTTAAATCTAACTAAGTTTTAATTAATTCATACAAACACCCAGGGCAGTATGACAAAAATAAGCAAGTTAAATATACAATTTTTTTTCCTAGTAAAGTGTATCTAATTTCAAGAGAAGTTATGCAAAGTCTCCTAAAACAGAAAGAATTCAGGATACAGAAAGGCCTCAGAAGATGATTTTGAATGTATCTTCTGTCTTGCTAGTTAGAGGGAGGGTCCAACTGATTATCAATGTCATCAAAACAGCATGTTTCTGGAAATTCTGGAAAGTAAAAATGTTGCAACTGTCCCCAGTAAGTAAATAACAATACTACTAATTACCAAAGAATAACAGTATTTCAAGGGATTAAAGAGCCTTTTTTCTGTTAGGCCATAAATAAAAAGGATAATGTACATATTTTTATGGAAGCAAATTTATTCGGATCTAATGATATTTTACTGAAATAAACTTTAGATGATAATGTCTAGTAAACCTCTTTGCAACTATATTTAAAGTCAACGTCACTCACTCTGTTAAATAAAAGATTAATTAGAAAAAGCAATATCTTTCCCATGAGCAAAGGCCTTCCTGTACTTAAATTTAAAGGATGACAAAGGGAATCAATATGTAAACCCTTCTAATGGCAGTCCATTTGCACTTTCCACTGCAAAAATAGTTTAGAAGGAAAGCTACCCATGGGAGACGATGCATTAGATGTCCAAGAATAGTCTGCTTTTAATAATAACTCTGTCAGAGAAGACTGGTTTTACATCTGCACTGTTCTTCTGAGCTGGAGCTGGGTATTTACAAAGGTATATCTTATGTTAATTGGATACTCAAAATCTATACTAGGTCTGTCACAATAAACAATAAATCAATTAATCACATGATAAACTTAAATGAGCTGAATAATTTATGTTTACTTGCTTGTTTGTTTTCTTTTTATCCCCCTCTCTTTCCATAAAAGGAGTCTGAATGACAAAAGGCTTCCATCTGAAGCATCTGTCTTCACTCACCCCTCCTCTTATTGTTTTTTTGGCATCATGGTTGTAGCCTGAGAATTTCATGGCTGAGAAGTAGCAAGCCAGAGAGATGCTTGTTGAGATTCGGTAAAACAGAGTT